AAAAAAAAACATACATAACATGCGAAGGAGTGCAACAGGCGTGTCAACCATTTTGTTTCGCCAGCTGAATAAAAATTACCGGTATTAACCCGCCAAAAAACCGCACGTGTACAAAAGATCCCGTTTATCTGTATTTATGTTAATCAGTAGTCAGCGCAGTGGCGGACTAACGGGGGCGGAAGGGGCCCCCGGTCTTTGGGGGCCCCCAAATAAATATAAAAATAAATAATAAATATCCTTGGACATTTTACACTACGCTTCTAGTCCCAAACTAAGCAAAGCTTGTACTATGGGTACTAGACAACGGATATAAACATACTTAAATACTTTTTTTTGTAAATACATACATATTATACATAGTAACACCCAGACCCATCACCAAATAAAAATTCATCAAATGGAGGCATTATCCTGATCAAATTCTAAACAAGACTTTAAAAATGTCAAGGGCCCCCGACCGAGAAGGACCCGCCTCATGTCCCTAATCGCCACTGCTTGTAAAACTATTTTTTGTAAAGCTGGGGGGCCTCATTAAACTTTGTCACCCCAGGCCTATGGCGGGCTTAGTCCGCCACTGAGTCGCAGTTAAAATTCACGGTGCGCCATAACAAGGCCCCATCGAGCCGTTCGGGCCGTTTTAAATTTTCATTGTTATGGCCCACCTCACGTCTAATGACCTGCGAATACAATCTTCACTTGAAGTTGGGTTTCAAATGGGATGTTTTATTGTGAGGGTCTAAGATTGTTGTTGTGTAATCTGGTTATATTTTCAACGAGATGTCTGGGAGTTCAATGGTTGAAGGGATTTGTATGAGATTAGCGTTCTGTATGCAAAATCTGACTCTACAGGCAGCCTTAGCCTAAGGCCTCAGCCTCGAATTTAGCGGGCAGCGGGGCGGCGGCGGCGGCGGCGCGGGAGCGGGGCGGGCAACGCAGACCCGTTCTCGAAACAAGCGGGCAGCTCGCGCGGCGCTTTAGCGGCGAAGTGTTGTGTTCGCGGTTGTGTTGTCGAGATATTTGTTTTTATTCGCGAACGAAATGTCTGAACAACGGCGACAATTTTATTTCGATTCAAATTTATTCCGTACGCTCGATTTATTGTGGGCAAAAGAAGGAGTGCGCTGCCCGCTCGTTGCCCGCTCCGGCGCCGCTGCCACGCCGCTGTTTTCGAGAACCGGTCTATTTGATTTCACGCATAAGATCCTGCCGCTGCCGCGCCGCCGCCGCTCCCGCCCCGCTGCCCGCTAAACTCGAGGCTGAGGCCTAATAAATAAATACTAAAACACTATTATGAATGATGCTGTAAGGGTTATTGTATGAAAAAGGTGTATCATATTATAGGATCAGAAGTTGAAAAGAGAAACTATAAGAGTGAAAATAATCGTTTCAGAACCAAAGAGGACCAGAAGATAAATATGCTATCTATAAAATAAAACGCATTTTAAAAACAATTTACCCACTAACTTCCTCAAAAACATAAACCACTTCTGCGAGTCCATTCAATAGCGTACCCGTCACCCATTTCCACAGAATATACGGTGAGTTAGTTTAGGACACCATCTATGTGACCGTCACCGTGACGTAGCTACAGCACATTAAACTGTACATCGTTGTTGCAAAATAGCCCCTATTTCAACGAAATAAGATGCCACAGTTCTTACCTCGATGTGCCGTGACGTACACGGCGCGGAAAATGCGGAAATATCCGGTTTTATCCAGTTCAATCCGCAACAATAGGAATAAATTGTCGAGCAATGTCCGCGTACGCGCAAATTACGATGCGACTGCCAGTTACTTTGCAGTTACACGATTGTGTATCGAATAGTAGGATTTGTCTAAGTTTATACTTGAAAGCCTTATTTAGTACCTAACTTATACCGCAGAATTTTCAAACTTAAGTGGCAGGCGGGTCACTTCAATTAACTATGAGTAGACTTGTAACGGATTGTAGTACCTACAACCAACTAAATGTAATTATGCCTAGGGAAAACTTTAACTTAAAAAAACACTTTTATATAACTATTTTCTATTATATATTTTTATTCTAAACTCTTATGCAATATTTTCGTATAGTCCCTTCAGTTCACGTTTCAGCCTAATGCCGACCCGACCTCTGCTGGACAATGGCTTCCCTACGGATTTTCATATTAATTTATAATCAGGTTTCATACTATTTTCAGTGCCTTGAGGCGTGCTACCCTTACGAGGTGGGTAGATCGACCTCGAAGACATTGAAAATAGTAAGCTTACCTGATATCCTCACACTGCGTGCTTAGTAGTTCTATAATATCGGAAAAAACAAAACACACTGCGATGTAAGGAAGCACAGCGCCATCTATCCATCTAACTTATGACTTTTTACAATTCGCATGTGGGTTTGGTCGTGAGACTAGACGTTGTTGGAGTTGCTACAGCCCGGATAGAATGGATAATATGTAGATGGATGTCATTTTGTCTGCGGGGCAACTCTACAACGTTATTCGAAGTTTCGAATGTATTCCTCTTAGCGAGATGCTAGCACGAGCGACAGTGACAGACAGATAGGTGTAGACGTCGTTAGAGAGTAGCCCTGCAGTTTAATGGCGAATGTACACTATACGGAAAATTGACCAAGTTGAAGCGCTAGTCCGCACACCGAAGTAACATGGGTGACGCACGCTAGAAGAAAGTAATCGAGATGGGTGTTCACACTATTACGTCTTGGTCAATTTCCTAATTAGTGTACATAATCTGCCATAACTATTACAATTATTTTGTAGTAATGGCGGGACCGAGTGCATTTGGATAGCCGTTCAAACTCATATAACTAATGCCAGATTTCATAAAGTTTTGTGCTTCACGTTAGTTCTGTATTTATTTTGACGTGTCAGTGGTGAAGTAGACGGCGGCAAGCTTTATAAGCCACTCTAGGAGTCTGATCAAAGTATGAGCTAAGCTAAAAACCTTGCCACCACCCATGCCGATCTTCGCTACACTTGCGAAGAAAATAGAGGACATTAAATATGATAAAAAATACGCAATGAAGCTTGCCACAAAAGCCAACATTAAAATAATATAGGCAAGCTAACGCCTCACGTAGTAAAGTAAACAAGGCTTAGAAGGATTACGGCGGACCTGCCTGGCGCAGGTGGCGGTGGGCAACTGCTCGAAGGACGTTCCTACTTCAATCGGAATGGGACGCTAAAACAAGATACCTACTTGTGTCCCTTTTTAACCGACTTCAAAAAGGAGGAGGTTCTATTTGTAACCACCATCATTAACCCATCATGCCATCACCACTACCACTTGCGGTAAACGCAGCGTTACATTTTCCTTGGTATCTTAAAACTAAGGCTAACTAAGTAATCGAGAGATCCGAACACTTGTTTTGTTTCCGCCCAGTGAATTTCTAGGCAAAGAGAGGTTTTTCCTATTATCATAGGTAATTTGAGACGTCTCCGAAAACTAGCCCTAGCTAGAGCTTTACCTGATTTGCTTCACAGTTCACTGTTGCATAGTTCCTTATCATTATAGTAAATATTTTATCTGCGTCCTTAAAACTTCAAAGGATGAACAGCACTATCGCGGTCATTTTATTTACCATTCCTTCCACCTCTATTTGATCAAGCGGAAAGTTTTTGACTCCCCACTCAGACTATTAAAAACTTGTTAATCCTAGCCTAGTTTTGTTTAACTTGTTCTGTTGTGCGATGTTACTATTTTTACGACTTTATATTTATTTAGAAATGTATTAATTCATATATCAAAATGTTCATTATTGATGCACGATAAAAGAACTTAAACAGTATTATATTATTGTAAAATATTTAAAATTTACTAGACTTGCTCTTAGGTAGTATAATTAAATTAAATCTACACTCCAAGAAACTCAAGACAATAAAAACCACTTGAAAGGGACTGTTCTGTTGCCCTATCTGCCTACCCTACCTACCCAGTACCTGCTAGTCCAGTCATTTAAGCTTAAATTAGGTAAGAATCTCGGAATTAGAGATACCCAGCTGTAAGTCTGTAAATACTTGTATATTGACACCCTAAAAGTTGTCTCAAAACCTACATATGGTAGGGTGTAAGCAACTATTAAATTTTAAGGTCAAAGGTCACAAAAATCGGTTTTTTGCGCTTTTTTTGGAAATATCTCATTTCCTATGGGTTTTTTATTTATTATCAATATTGTAGAATACTAAATTCTCTACAAATTTTGTTTAGTAAACTCAAAGCTTAGTTACAACAAGGAATTCCCGAAATTCCCACAGGAATTAGCGGGAAAATCCTTTTGTATGAAAAATCTAAACCGCTTAAGTAGACCTGAAGTGATGCAGTGACCGCGCGCTCTCCGCCCTCTATCTCGAAAACGGTTCACCGTATAAAAAAAGTTTTTAAACAAAATTTGTAGAGAATTTAGTATTCTACAATATTGATAATAAATACAAATAGCAAAAAATCCACAGGAAATGAGATATTTCTAAAAAAGCGCAAAAAACCGATTTTTGTGACCGTTGACCTTGAAATTTAATAGTTGCTTACACCCTACCATATGTAGGTTTTGAGACAACTTTTAGGGTGTCAATATACACGTATTTACAGACTTACAGCTGGGTATCTCGAATTCCGAGGTGAACTTACTATAATGACTGGAGTATGCGGCCAAATTAGATTTATTATAGTTCCAAAATACTGGACTGTCCTGTTGGTCCTGTCGATGACATTGACAGTGGGGCGCCACCGTCAATAACGGATCGCTGGTTCCGGTTCCGATTTTTGCCATGTTGGAAACCATATAGTTGAACGATGGTAGCGCCCCCCTGTCATTGAGTTTGGTGGGACAGTTCAACGTGGGTCATCTATAGCAAGATTCCCACAAAATATCGTCATAAACGATATGCCATCCTATTGCGCAATTTCCCGAGTAAAGGAAAATCTCTCGCAACGAATAACGTTACGCGTTACAAATAAAGTAGCACTAACGTACAGGAACACGCCGCTGTCACTATGACAGCTACTATGACCTTGATGGGCCTTGAAAAAAAAAATTGTCTGACATTTTCACGTGCGCCGTATTTTGTATTGCATCATAATTTCAGTGAATTTTTATAACTAAAAATGGGAAACGCAAGTGCTAAAGCTGCTGATGTGAAGGTTTTGGAGGCTCCGGCTCCTGCCACTGCAGAAAAGCCGAAGTTAAAGCCATGCTGCGCGTGCCCGGAGACCAAAAGAGTGCGAGATGCTTGGTAAGGTTAAAGTGATTTTTCCGAAAGATTCTAGTAATTACGTAACCATTTGCCCAAATATTATGAAATACTTATTGAATATTACATTACTCTTGTGGTCATGAAAGGATTCACCCTCATTTTTGTTAACAATAATTACTTTTGACTGGCTATTTGAAGAAAATGTAAACAAAGTTTGATAATGTCCTGGCAATTGAAGCTACAGACCGTTTAACTGTCTCTGACACTTTTATCAACATTAAGAGAACACAAAAAATGTCACACACAAACTTGATACATTGTGGAGATATTTTTCATCTTGGATAATAAAAAAGTCCACCTGAAATTCTCAAATAATTGTCCCTATTATTATTGTAGTAAAAAAAAAACACAATATTGCAGCAAAGAGACAATATTCTTTAAAGTTAAGTGCGAACAAAGTCGTTAAACAAACTTTTTTATTATTTTCAGCATCATCGAAAAAGGTGAAGAAAACTGCGGTGACCTGATTGAAGAACACAAGGCTTGCATGAGAAAAATGGGCTTTAACATCTAATATCTCTACCATACACAGTACCTAGTATTGTACGAGACATGCTAGTCATATCACTAATGTTACATTGATGACATCATCGACACTCCCCATCATCAATGTTCATAACAATTTTTAACTTGATATGACATTCTTTTATAATTATTTTAAAGAAGCATGATCTGTGTTAAACCAGCGTTATAATTCACAAAAAGACAACTTCCTACCAAAACAAGAATTGTAATAATTTGGCATTTACTGAACAGCTACGGCATTGCATCTACATTAAATACATTGTAGAAAATATAATGTATCTAAATCTTTCAAAAACATTTTAAAATTTATAATGATGATGCATTTCTACTATTCCATTGCTTTTCATATAAAAATCAATTTTCATGAATAATGATGATTTTATTTCAATTCTTTAGATAAGACCTTTGATTAAATTGTGATGTATAGTTTTAGTAATATAACTTTAGTTAAATATTAGCAATGGATGAATAGTAGAAGTTTAGGTTATAGGTTTTCATAATTGTTTGCCCTTTTCATTCATAATAAATTTTCAATATGGGCCTCTTTTTGTCATTCATATTTATTGTTCATGTCTACATTGGAATAATCGCATAAAATTAAGATCATGTAATTTGTAGAAACATTTCACAACATATTTCCAAATCTTGTTACTTTTCTGTTCATTGAATATTCAATATTGTAGTTGGTGTTACTTAAAATATGACTTAAATCACCAAAGTATTAATAACTTTTTGTCAGTCTTTATTTAGGTATAAGGTTGTAGGTTAATTATCAAGATCTGCGTTCCGCCGCTTCTGTAACCTAACTTATTCTAGTGTTAATTTAATTGTAAATAAATATTTGTTACATAATAATCATCTTTGATTGTATTTCCTCGCTTCACAACTGAAACTAAACAGCTGTGGAGCTGATTCAGCAGTGGCAACAGGCAACACTACAATAGTAAAATAACAACACTGAGTTTGAAATGATGGATATAAAACTTGTTAAATACAATGCTAGGATAGTAAGTCCATACTTCAATTCCTATTAAAGTATGGACATAACAGTTATTTGTATCACACTATTTTGTGCAACAGGATGAGCCTTTACACAAAAAGCATGCTTATGTCCCGTGAAGCGCTCTAAGAAGTGACTAAAAATTCATAAAATTTATCAGTTTCTCATCATCTACGCTTCCCTATCGAATTTCGAGAAATCAAGCATTATTTTTAAACATTTTTGAGCCCCCTGTATTTTTACCCGACTACGCCATAAGGAGGGTTATGTTTTTGAAAAATAAAAAGCCCATTCATCGTACGAACTAGGAAGAGTTCTTCACGCGTTTGATAACATCTGATAAGGTGTAATTTTAACGTTTTATCATCTCAAATTCTACCAAACCCTTATCATAAGCCTACGTGTACATTGTTGTAGATAAGTAAAATTACTTTTTTATCAGACAGCGAGTAGCAACGTGTATTTATACCTACTCGGCTATCTTACCAGCATTAACCCTTACTACAAGCTGACCTAAGGCTCGACGAACACTTACGAGGCACCGCCAAATTATTTAGACTTTTTAGACCATGCCATGATGAAAATAATGGGACTAATCTTTTTTTAAATTAATATTTGTAAAATAGGTCGATCTATCCAACAGAGAATACATTTTGTAGGTATTAAAAGGCTGCATTTCCCTTATTAAACCGGAAATCGAATCTAGGACCGCGATCGAGGGAGCTGCCACTGGCACTGGACTACAGACCGTAGTTCCGTAGTTTATTGTCACATTCAGAATTCAGAAACCAGAATGAGAAAGTCTCCTTTTAAAAGTATTTTTATTAAGTTTTCTTAAGGTTAATCGTTCAGTGTACTGGAGATTCGTCGTTTTTCTGTTAAAACATTCTAATATTCCTTAAATAAAACCCACCTTAGTGATTTTAACTATCTAACTAAAATACAATAGCTCGAACATTTTTGGTAGGGCAATAACCGCTCACTCGGCCACGAACTCGTTGCTATCAGTGGAAAAATTAAATAATATTAATAGAAATTAATACCTATGTCCCTGCTTAAGTCTAAGGAAAAATTCTAGGAGAACTCATGGAGGCGTTGAAAGAAAGAAAAAATCTTGATCACCTGGAGTTACGCTTACTAGTGATTTTCTACAAAAAACTCATGCTAGCTTCTTCTTAAAGAGAGTCATGAACATGATGCTGCAAGCTTACCTACTTCACAAAATGAGAACCAGATTTCATATAAAAAAGAACTAACCAACCCAGAAAAGGTTGTGCAAATGAAGAAAGCCTTTTACTATAAAGTTAATTACTTAATGTTTCAATTAACATTATCATAGTTAACCTTTGCCCCAAACTAAGCAGAGCTGCTACTATGACAACTAAGTAAGTAAGTTATAAAACGAATACTTAACTTAGGTAAGCAAATCTAACTAAAGACACTAAACGTGTAGAAATGATTAAGTATGTCGGCATTTATCCCCGGCGGGATTCAAACCACTGACCGTAGTAGACATAGCCTGATTAAAAAGCCGCCAGATCATGCATCCGTCAATGGTATGTACCTATATTCTGAGACACTAAAATTACTAAAGTCGGCTTCCACCAAAGCACAAAGCGAAGAGGAGAGATATGTGTTTGAATGACCAGTTAGATTTCCGAAATCAAGCGGAGCATAGAAGTGATGCAGAAATAACGAATTCTGATTGTCAAACACATCTCCAGTCCTCTCTTCTCTGTTTGGTAGGCCTTACTTAGCCACTTCTCTAGTAAAATAGAAAAGAATTTGTCGCACAGTGCGTCTGCCCTTAATAATACTTAGTAAGAGGCCAGTAAAAATTATAGATCTCCGAATCCCATTCAAGAATTCACGTTATCTCCCAAACTGAGTGCGCGAAGACACCGGGACAGACGTTCCTGATAGTGCAGTGTTAACCCTTAAATGGTTTCTGTCCGTTATAAAGGACATGTCAAACAATTGCCTACAGAATCTAAATTAAAGCAATTTATCGACTTTCAAGGGATATTTTATAAAAAGCATGATATTTTATGTGAAACACGGGGCTGTAGTTCCATAAAAAACTGCGAATTTTAAAAATTAAGACAGTTGAATAACTGCAACAGCAAGGTCAAGTTTTCGCTGTTGATAAATATGGCAACACTGTGGGTATTACACTTGTTCTTGTGCTTTATTGACTGATTTTAGAATATTAACGAATAAAACTGACGATTATTGCCAAAACAGTAAAAAAATATCGATTTTTTTTCGTTCATTTCAAGGTTACAAATGTTATGTCACTTAAAACGGACAACGCCATGTATCAGTAATAAATACTCATGTTGATTTTTAGACGTTTTTACCCCATTTCCCCCTTTTAGGGGTTGAATTCTGAAATAACCTGAAACACGTGTTTATTAATTTATCCATAGGAGTACTCCTGTGAAGTTTCGAATTAAATAGTGCAAGTAATTTTGTTTCGCCCTACAAACTTTGGACCCCCATTTCACCCCCTTAGGGGGTAATTTTGGAAAATCCTTTCTGATAACACCCTTAGACCCGAATAAGGAACCTACATGGCAAAATTTGTGTCTTTATACCCACCGGTTTGGGATTTATGTTGATATATCAGGCAGTCAGTTTCTCTTTTTATATGTCTGGGTATTTTTTGATAAATTTATGTAAAATCATCAGTAAATAGTGCGGATGGATTGCAAAAGGCGCTGGATTAGCCAGAGGCTGATTATCAGGGATTCCTGTATTGTTATTAATAAAAGTTGTTTTACGTTTGTTTTCCTAAACTGGCAATGTCCGCCCTAAGTGACATGGATGTAATCCTAAATAATTGGCAATGTCCGTTTTAAGTGACATGTCATAACTTCTATACTAATTGAATTTTTTTCAAAAAGAAAATATTTTTTTCTTAATCTATCAAAACAATACCTAAATCCCAAATTTGACCATTATTGAAGCAAGGGTTCAATGAGTGCCAATTTAAGGGTTAATATGAGGTTTGTCAAAAATTCGGCGAGACATTGGTGCGAAGAAGACCTGTCTGCTCCCAGCTCAGTTCAGACTGTGGACAGTTACGGGTAAGTACCTAAGTACTTAATAGAAACTTTTAAGGATTTGTTGACCCTAGTAAAACAGCTTTTTATATGTGTTACGGTTAATGTGATAAATTGAAAATTATTAATAATAATAGCCGGTTATTATGAATAATTACCGACAGTCGCGGTAAAAGTGATAAATTAATCACATTTAACAGTGATTTTAATAATTCAACCTTAGTACTAACAAATTTCTTAAAGAGAACAACATCTTGTGTACGTGCTCGTGTACAGCCAAACTTTTAAACGTTTTGATATCATATATTAATATAATTTGGCATAATGAGTTTGGAATGTTTCTTGCATAATATTACTTTTCCATGATGCCTATATCATAATATTTTGATTTAAAGTGAAAAATAGGTTAAGGTGCGGCGGGGGTGGCCCAAAAGCCGCCTATTTAGTTTTATACACACATAAATGACCTCATATTAATCACATTTACCAAATCATGCGGTAATTATTCATAATAACCGGCGATTATTCATAATTTTCACATTTATCACTTTGACCGTAACATATGCCTAGTTACAAGCTTTTGCCCGCGGCTTCACCCGCGTGAAATTTAGTGTCACAGATCGACATAAAGTATAGGTACTAGGTAGCCTATAATGTTAATCTGGGTTACAAACAATAATAGTGTAAAGTTTCAACAAAATCCGTTCAGTAGTTTTTGCGTCAAAGACATGCATGACATCCTAACATCCATACAAACTTTCGCATTATTTTCTAATATTAGTCGAATAGGATTTGCAAAATATTTACTAAAATTCAACTTGGCTATTTAGAGATGTATACTTATCTACATCTACTTAACTAAAATTGTATAATATTTGCCAATCTAGCATTAGGTATAAGACGCAAAATGAAATTGATTTAGTTAAATATTATTACGCACTCGTACTTATTTATCAAATTAATGTTAAAAATATGTGTGCCAGACGGAAATAATTATGATTATTTCTGATGAAATAAAAATACGAAGTTGCTACACATTAATGCACAATTTTACGACAGATAACCTACTTACTTAGTGCCAGTTTCATGCATTTTTCAGTTCTTGTCTTAAACTTTCTGAACTTGACTTCACAGTTGCAACAGTAATTATTTAAGTAGCTGTTGTTCAAATCAATAAAACAAAACTACTTACAGTAAGTATAAATGGATAATCCTCTTATATGATTATCCAACATCGAAACGTAGTAACTACGTTTCGATGTTGGATAATCTATTTATATTTAACTACGTCGTAGTTAAATATAAATAGTAAAACTGAAACATATAATACAGTTTGCGTAGGTATAGTCAGCGTCAAATAGTTCATGACACCCAAAGTGACCAAAAAGTTCATAACAATACCTTATTCTAATTTTATTGTAACAAAAACATTTGTTGCGAACCTTTTGGCTACTCTGGGTGTCACGAACGAACTATTTGACGCTGACTAAGTATTTTAAGTCCTAAGTAACTGCTAAGTTTCCCGCCTATTATTGGCGTAGTTAATTACGCAAATAAATCGATAACCACAGGGTAGATATTAATTACTAGGATGACGAAACAGCGATCCTAGTTTCATCATGCATGACCCAAGATAACGAGCTGGTTTAAAGGGGTGTGTCGACATGTTTTAAAATGTACTAAGAAGCAAAATTCCAATCTCTAACAAGCCAGTAGCCAAAAGTAGACCCATTAAGCACAACATGACGTATTTCTTTCGTGTTCGCTTCGCAAAGGTATATTTTTTGTAAGCTATCACTTCCCTAAAGTCCTTCGCAAAAGTGATCACGTTCATCTTCTTTTCTTTTCGTGTCCACAATAAACCTACACAGTGTCAGCCCAAAACTCCGCCACAAAAGTGACTTTGTCAGCAGCACTCATCAAATCCTCCTGAGTGCAATTGCTTGCTAAAAAACGTTAATCTGTCATTAATATTATTTTGCCTGCAGTCATATCGCTAACGCCATTTCGTGTATCACCGATGCTTTTTTCATAGCACAAAAAGCTATTTAAAATAAAAGTTGTTGAGATGCAACGTAGAGCGTTTTAGACTGGTAAAGAATGCTACGTGACATTAAGTCCGCCATTGTAGGAATTATGTTAATAAAATATGTAAATTAAAAATATGGCATTGTAAAAATCTGGCCACCATTGTGAAAATCATTTTCAGGCGTATTTTCAGCAGTGGACGTCCTGACTCCCGACTGAAATGATGATGATGATGATGATGATGATGATGATGATGATGATGACGGCATCGGAAAAGCGCGTAATTTTTTTATGGAGTGCTGAAAAACAAAGATCCTCCATTTACATAGATAGAAAAGGCTTGAGATATTGATAATGAACTTAGTAATTTCCCTAGTAGGCAAGCATACTAATGATAAATTAATCAAATGTCAATGAGTAAGTAAGTCATAATGAATACAATGTTAATAGCAAGATCGAAATGTCAAATAAATCTCGCAGTATCTCTTCCAATCCTTGTTTTCAATCCAGGGAGATTGAACTGGGCGCCTTGAAAATTGGCTTATTTATGAACATTATCGGTGAAGTATGAAAACGAAAATTTATAGTCGCATCGATTGTAACAATGTAGTTTGCTGTCAACAGTTTGAACGCCCGTGACTTTTTCATACAAGTTTGATGACACAAAAGTCTGTACAGTCAGCGTCAAATACTTAGTTCGTGACACGCAAAGTGGCCAAAAGGTTGACAATACACAACCTTATTTCAACTGTAACAAAGAAGTGTTGCGAACTTTTTGGCTACTGTAGGTGTCACGAGACGCTGCTGTACCTAAAGTTCAGGGCTTACCTTTTCGTGTAACATTAAAAATGCGCAACCAAGCTGTCACTCAATGCCTAAAAAACGTGTATGTGATGGACAACAAAAAGTTAGACAGAAAATTAAACCTGTCGTAAATGGTTTCGGAATTTCACCAGGTTTTAAATTCCAAAACTCCAAAACTAGTTATTACTTACATGGGAAGATTAACCCGTAAACATTTTACCCTCGTATTAATAAAAAGTTGCACCCTGTTTTAAAGTGACGTTTAAGTAAGTAGTTAGTATGGAAATGTTTAATAACTTAAAAGATATTTTAAAACAGTAAGTAACCTGTGAATACTAAAATTGTTGAAAAGTCCATTTACTTACTTATTTCCAGATCAAATTTCCTTTTCAGAAAACCGCCCCCAGCAGTTTAAAAACTGATTATGTTGCGTTATTGATTGATTTTCCTCAAATATTAATTTTTGCCGCTATTTTCACGTTCGCACTAAAATTATCGTAAAGAACTACGGAATATCTATCTAAAAATCATACTCGTATGACGCATACCTTCTCATTAACTGACCTTATCTGCCGATGTAAACATTACCAAGATACAAGTTACAGCTCATTTAGCTTTATTGAATCAGATGGTTCGGTTCGCGACAACATTCAGTTTCAATTTTAATTAATAAAAACAATTTATTAAAAAATAATAACATTTTAAGTTAAATAAGGACTGGAGGATCAGTGATTGTTTAGGTAAACAGAGTTTTCTTTTGTTTTTGTTGACAAACACAATTTCGCTCGTGTCACGTTAATGCACGGTAGTTTGATAACAATTAAATGTAGGTGTAGCAATATTATCCAAAAGTAAACTTGTCAACAAATTAACCAAACGTTTTGTGGAAATGATCCTCGATAAGTTATTTTTTATAAAAGTTTTAGGTGATAATGTGAGTTTTTCAATAATTTCGATATTTTCTCGGTTCGTAGGATATTCGGGAGCACGTGTTCCGACTTCTCGGACTGCGAACGAGAAGAAAAAAGAAAGAGGAGTAGTAAAAGAACGTAAGTACCATTTACAGACATTAAAACACTATTAATATTATTTATAGCAATGTAATCACTATATTATTGCTTTATTTTGTAAACACTAGGTAAGAGACCATAATATTATTTGCGTGATTTGGTTGGTGGGATGTATTCTGAGATGATAATAGCTAGGAATATGTATTTTCAATGTCCTAATGACACAACTGTAAGTTAAGTAACCTACCAAGTTAGGCCTACATATTTTTGCCAAAGTAAGTCTGCTATTAAATTATTTGGAAATAATTAAGGAATCTTCCTACATTCAGCAATAGACGTCCTGTGGCTGAGATGATGATTATGAAAACCTATTAAATTAATAATTCGTAATTAAGCAGATGGGCACCTAAAATTCCTCCGCAAATTATAAAAACTTTTCAACTCTTTAAAATTAAATACATCATGATTCTAAGTACATACCTTGCTTTATAACCGTCTTCTGACTCCAGCCCCGCCGTCCACCGGTCATCCTGCAGCAGCAACCAAAGCTACTACAGCGCTATGGAGCGGATGGAGGCGTCACCACTGCTGGGCAGACCAGCTCCCTGCTACAAGAGCCTGCCTGACGGACACCTGGTGAGTGGGATAGATGCTGGTGACTGGTGGAGATCTCTGCCAGATAATACCTGTGTGTCCACCCACAAGGTGGACCGACGACATGATAAAGGTAGCAGGGAAGCGCTGGATGCAGACCGCTACGAACCGAGCGATGTGGAAGTCATTGGGGAGGCCTATGTTCAGCAGTGGACTGGACATCCTGTGGCTGAAATGATGATGATGGTGGTCTGTATGAGACCTATGAAAGAAATAACTAAGATTTTCTGGAAGACAGGTTCCTAGTAGTTTGTAAAGATGTTTATCATCAAGTGGAGAAACATATTTTATCTAGCATCACACCCTGACGTGTGATAGCGGTCAAATATTATAAAAAAATATAATTTTCAAGTCATGGAAAAAGAACCCACCAGCAAAGCCAAAAGCTCTAGCGTACCTATCTGCCGGATTGCGGATAATGTATTTAATTACTTCTTTAATTTTAATATGGCAAATCACTATAAATATGTATTAGAATGATAACTGAAACTATGTAATATATCGCCAAGCTTTTTATCATTGGGGTCATCATATTGCGTGGCAAAGCATGTGACAATTTGGGCAAATCAATGTGTTTATTAGATTCTTTATGATCTTAACATAAATACGGAATAGTTACATAATCCTACGAATGTATTTTATGTAACGCAGTAGTTCCTTCGATTTTACGAAGTTATGTAATTGGATTAGCTTTTTACATTACCCTACTGGTAAAGTTCACTGACACACAAGGTGGACCGACGACATCATAAAGGTGCAATATTCAGTAAGGTGCATAAAGGTGCATCATATACCTAGCAGGAAAGCGTTGGACGCAGGCCGCTACTAGCCGGGCAGCATGGAAAGCATTGGGGGAGGCCTATGTTCAGCAGTGGACGTCCTATGGCTGAGATGATGATGATGATGATGATGATGAAAGTCCACTGAAGTATCATTAATTTATCATACTTGCAAATTGCAAGTTATTTTCGAAACATTCTTACCTACGAAACAGGCAATCAGATTTTCTGAGCATGACCTTTACCTATCAAGAACACCTAGCCCCGCTGTGTTTACGAAGATATCGTCGAACTTATTATCACAGCCATGACCAATGCAGTGTTAGTAGCATTCAGATATCCAAGACTGCGTTATCATACGATATGAATTCGCAAGACAATGACCTGCTAAGTGGGGCAATTATGCCTGGACTTGAGTTTGAACTAATCGTTCGAGATAAACAGTTAGGGTAGCTCCATTAGCAGATATTTTCAGGAACTTTCCAATGCATTAACTTTGACTCCTCATAATTTCTTCTTCATTCCTTTGCTGGTCTAAAGACAGTTTAACTTTATGACAACATTGACGATCTGGTGAAGGTCGCGGGAAGCACCTCGCACCTGGATTGCGAGTGGGCAATGCAAGACCGGTTGTTATGGAAATCCTTTGTCCAGCAATGGACGTCACTTAACTGAAACGGACAAACAAAACGTTGTAAAAATTGCTGAACTATGTTATAACTAGAACAACATAAGCATTGCTGAACATTCTCCCATTCTTCTGCCCTGCCCAGCTTTTGACAGAATCTGCCAAATCACCACTCTACCTATAGTCTATCCAATATAGCTTGATTAGAATGACGACTGTCAAACGAATGTGACAATAAGACCCGTTAGGACTTCTTTAAATCCTGAGTCGAAAAATCAATACGAATCGAGATCGGCCATTTGCTAGCAAATCCAAACACAGATCTTAAGCAGTCGTTAAAGTCCGAAAGTTTTTCTATCATGGCCCCTCTACCGATCTAAACCGCGTTATCAAAAATGGCCGACTGACGGTTGCTATTTTGACTTGCGAAGATGGTCACATTGGTCACACAGGCCTTGACGACTCGTATCAGCCACGCAATTAATGTTCTTGATACTGGAACTGCAGCGTCACGATCGGTATTGCGATGAAGGCTTCGTATTGCGTCAATATGCTAAAATTAGTCTTTGTAAGTATACCCAATAACTCTCTGTACTAACTACTAAGCTAGGTAGTAATGATATATCTAGTCAAAGATATTACCTAGAAAACCATAAAGAACTGTATGATTAGTGGAAAGACCATTACATCATCTTTATTAACTTGATGTAAGTAAGTACATGTACTTAGGTAGTCCTATAGAAGTTCCCCAAAAATAAAACAAACAGCTTTTAAAAAAATCCGGATTTGTGCTACCTAGTAAAATTATTGTTTTCCTGTTTCCAGAATCCAGACCATACAGCGAGTAAAATACTTTCGTATGCGATCTATGACAAGCCAAAGCCGGAGAGAAAAAAGCAGAGCTCGTTAGTGACGATGTAAGTGAGTTAATTCCTAAGCATTTACTAGAAAGGTTCAGTCAGCGACAAATAACTTAGTTCGTAAGGGCTATATTACCAGTCGCCGGCTACAAACAAACTGGTGTACGTTTGGTTGCGCAAAGTTGCATACATTTTGTTGGTAGCCGGCGACTGGTTGCGCCGCCATGGTGTCCCGGTGAAATATAGCCCTTACACCCAAAGTGGCCAAAAAGTTGACACCACAACCTGAAACCTCCAAAATTGGAATAATACCAATCACTTACCATCAGGTGAGATACAAGCCAAGAGCTTCCTCGTTGTGGATAAAAAAAATATACAATTATTGGTACAAAGACGTGTTGCGAACTTGGGTGCCATCAGCCATGATCTATTTGATGCTGACTGTATTACCGCCCAAAAATGAATCTACACTACAATCGCTAGGAAGCGTTCTCCTTCAGCTCATATTTACGTTCGAACTGAACTTTTGCGTAAAACCCACCTTTTATAATCCGAAGAACCCTTCAGACTAGCAGACGACCATTTCGATGATAAAGACTTTAATAAAGAAAGAAAGTATTTATTTGATGCGAGTATTAAAAGCGTTACAAATAAATAACAACTTAAACACTAAAAACAGAGTACACGCACCAAAATGGCATCTGCTCAGTATAAGCCGTGACGGCAGAGAGCACGTCACGACCACTGGTATTCTGCGGATGCCAGTTCAGCAGAAGGGCGCAGCCCGCCCAGAAACATCAATCAACATTATTTACCTACGTGAAACTTGAACATATTTTTATACAGTTTATAAACTCTATATCTAAGCTCTATATTAATATTCTTTCTTTGTCCAGATTCTCAGTATGGAACACAATCATGGGGTCCTCTCTGCTGACTATGGCGTGGGGAGTGGAGAGAGCTGGTCTTCCCGTTGCTTTGGTGCTGGTAGCCCTGATGGCAGGGCTATGTCTCTACACTGCCTATGTACTGCTGAGGGTGAACTACCATCATGGTAAGGGAAAATTGCTAACAATATTCAATCGACAAGTCGTCTACTAAGTTTACTAAGACACTGACGAACCCTGAAGTTAATTAATATGAAACCGTGACTACTATACTCTTTCAGGCTGGTTTAAGTGCCATGCGGACTGTCAGTGCGGATCTCTCTGCACAGCCGATCTGTTAACTGCTAGGGAGCGAGCGGTTCCTCCGGACAGCATTACTCTAAAACGCTTCCTAGAAGTTCATACAGATTGCCGTGCGGAGTGGGTCCGCACTGACAGTCCGCGTGACACTAAAACCAGCCTCACTAACTGAGAACCATCATTGTTTTGCAATTACCTATTGCTACTCTGTGGGTAACAAAAGCTTTACCTTAGTACTTATTATCTTTAACAATAGCTTGGCTTGGTTGACGCGAGAAGTCAGTAATCTTATATGTTTATCGGAACACCAATGACGTCATAAAAGAACTGCTAATCATAAATCTGCAATATACCTAAGTCACAATGTTTGTTACCATTACAGGCAACGACACATGCGAAGTCCCCGCACTATGCAGGACGCTGCTGGGCCGCTGGGCGGAGCTGGTAGCGCACACCTTCAGCCTTCTAGTGTTGTTAGGGGCCAACGTCGTCTACTGGATCCTCATCACCAACTTCCTTTACTTCACCGTCAACTACTTCACAGGTAGGCACCCTAATCTGTTAGGTACCACAACTGTGATTGATTGTAAATACTTTCCACTTGTCATCTTCTTTCTAAAAGACGTCCTCTGCTGAACAAAAGCCTAATGCCCCAAGGATTTCCATTACGACTTATTCTACGCCGTCCGCATTGATGCACAAATTCACAAATTACTTATAGTCCCGTAACCCTTCATGGGAAGCTAAAAATACGCACGTATTTCTCTCGACTTTTACCAGGTCATTGGTCCACCGAGTAAAAAGTCTACGACTTCTGTAGTCTACCACAGGGGAACTTTCAGCTCCAACACCCATCTTTCTTTTTCTTTCCATCCATATCGCTTATCGAACTTCTCCTTCCATGACTTCAACAAGCATCTTTAAAGACACTTCGAAATCAGCAAAGCAAGCAGATAGTTATAATTTTGAACATAACTAGCTAAAATGAATTATTTCAGAATACTAATCTAACAAAATCTTCTCAGATCTCCACTCTTCAAACCAGACAGAATACAACTCGACGCTGCTCTGTCCCAAGCTCGACGGGGTCAACGGTTCCCTCCTCATCCCCGTGGAAGCCCCCGTCAGTCCTTACTGGGGACTTCACTCCACCGTGCCTGTCTACGTCGCCATTATCGTGTTCCCTCTCTTGAACTTTAAGAACGTGTCTTTTTTCACCAAGTTTAACTCTTTGGGTAAGTTTTGCTTTATCGAATGCTCTATAAAGAAGAAAAAAACAACCTTTTTATGTAACCAATGGTGTTAGAAATAATTTCATGAAAAAGGATCCTAATTACGTAATTACCTAAGCACACTACACGCAAAAAAGCGTGCCTATAACTGCAGTAGTCATGTCAAAAGCCTATGGTGTGCCAAATCCGACACCAACGACTGAAATCATAAGTGTAATGATAATTACTAACAGGATTACTCTTACCTCTTGTTCCCATCGCTGCAACTACTGTATATCCAGGATCTACATCATAAGCCTGTAAAAATCTATTCATTAACGGCCGTTGACCTCTTTAATCAAACTAGCTATTAATCCAACTCTTCCTTCCCTCTAGGTACGCTCTCAGTGATATACCTGCTCATCTTCGTCGTCGTAAAGGGCGTTACATGGGGTATCCACATCACGCAGCTGCCCGGCGAAACATACGTGGCCAAGAACGCAGCAGTTCTTAGTGGAATGTTGGCGCTTTCCTTCTATATCCACAACATCATCATCACTATTATGGGCAACAATGCTAGGCAGGAAAATAACGTGAGTAGGACTTTAGATAATTTATCTTTCTTATTAGGGTTTGTACAATTTGCACGGCTGTTTCTGTTTGGTATTATGATCCCTTGTAATTTTCAAAAAACTAAGTATCAATTGTTGTTCCAGTGTAGAGATTTGACGATAGCATTCGTGCTAGTGACTCTAACCTACACGTTAGTAGGAGCTGGATTCTACGTCTGCTTTCCACTAGCAAAATCGTGTATAGAAGACGTGAGTAAAACTATGTTACTCGTACAATAACTTTAACATTTTCTTACGAAACGATTCACGGAGTCGATTTTTGTAGAGAAAATGTTAGTAAGAATTTCTTCAAGTCACTATTATAATCATTTGTGTCTTTTCAGAATATTTTGAACAATTTTGAAATGCATGATGTCATGACTGCGGTAGCGAGAATTCTTCTATTGTTCCAAGTATGTATTTTTTTTTTATAAAACATTTATTAAATATTAATACTTTATCAAATTAAAATTATTTCAAATACTTTCCAATTCACTCCAATAATCTTATGATATAATAACACTTATATTTGACATTATAACTAGGTGGTGACAGTATACCCCCTTGTGGCATACATGCTCCGGACTGAAGCGATCCTCCTGTTGCCCTTCACGGAGAGCCGGTGGCTGACTGTTCTCATCAACATCACCATCGTCGTCATGTGCATCCTGGTCGCGTGCTTTTGTCCGAGCATCGGGACTATTATCAGGTATTGAAACGATATCAAACGCATGTTAGAAGTCTAAACTCAAAAACGGTTTCATTGCCTATTTTGCCAATTATCAGCCAATTTGCCTTGTTATTCATAAAAAAACAGGCTTTTAAGGCCAGGAGAGTTCTTGAGTGGCGACCACGAGCCGGAAGACGTAGCGTGGACACTTGGATAGGCCTCCCACTAGGTGGATCGACGATCTAGTGAAGGTAGCGGGAGGTGCCTGGATGCGAGTGGCGCAGTATCAGTCTTTGTGGAAATCCTTGTGGGGGAGGCCTTTGTCCAGCAGTGTCAGTCTTTCGGCTGAAACGAACGAAAGCTGATAGTATTTAGTTAATCGGGAACTGATTGAACAGCTAAGGAATTATACTGAATTCACAAATAAATTTCAACTCTATATTCATCAAAATACAATACTTATAATCACTATTTTCCCTATTTTCAGATACACAGGCGCAGTGAGTGGCTTAGTGCATATCTTCGCCCTGCCCTCCTTACTACACGTCCGCTCTCTCCAACTCCGAGGCAGATTAACCTGGTGGAAGGCAGCCTTCTACCTGGTTATCACTATCTTCGGGGCCGTCAACCTTCTGATGCAGTTTTTTATCAACGAGTGATTAGTTTCCAAACAAGTTTCTGGATTGAGCACTAATTTTGTAGCCGTCAATTTTGAGACGTGGTTGACTTGACTTGAACTCTGATTTGACTTGGTTGAATGTAATTCGGTGCTACCGAGATCTTTAAACCAGATTTTTGGATCTTAAATATTTGCCATACAATATGATGCCAGTGACTAAGAAGAAAGTGAAGTAGATATAACATGAGAACGGTACCAAAGAGTTAAGAGTAGAGAAGAATAAAAATCTTGGAAATAAAGACTTTTCACGTGAATCTCACTTGCTTACATCACAGCAAATATTTGGGAGGTAAATGATGTGGTAATAAATATTTTCTTCATACCAAACGATCAATGACTTGCAAAAACAGCAGGGTTCAACTGAACCCAGTAACCAACTGGTTACTCTCTAACGTCTTAAGCTTCAACCACACCGAAATGACAGGTCGCGTGAACTGTCATGTCGCGCCACCTGTCATTTACCTATGATCGCGCCGGCAATGGCGATCTCCACGCGTTGGTGTGGTTGAAGCTATAAGTAGTTTTGGACCTATCTGTCACTGTCGGTCATGTTGTCATCTCGCTTTGTATGAGAGATAAAAACATCCGAAACTTCGGATAACGAAGTTGGGGGTATCCTCAATATCTTTGTACGTTTATAAAACTTACTATGTTATAGAATAAGGATAAATATTTTGTCATTGTAAGTAAATAAAATAAAGACAAAAAGGTGTATGCATAAGAGTTAAACATAAAATCTAGTCATACTATTAGATATAAGTTTTAGATGATATTTGAAATAAAAATAAGGTTTAACTTTACTAAAATATATTTATAGAAACACATAACGATACATTCGGTTTATGCAATACATAATGTGATATTAAAATAATTATTAATATTTAATAACAAACTTTGGCCAAATAAATACTTTTTACAACCTGTGATGTTTAATTAGTATATTTACATAAAATAACATTCCGTAATAATATTAATATCATATTAAACCAGTTTTGTTAGAGATTGTTTGTTTTGTCATTCACTTATCGAAATATTTCACACAATTTGTACTTACATTAAAATTTAAAAGTTAAAATTAGATAACAAAAAATGTTACACTATTATTTTCAATTTCGGGTGAAAATACGTACGAGTATATGTTATTAGATAATTAAATGAAATAATATCTCACCCCGTAATTAATTTGATTAATATCAATGTGCAATAAAAACTACGCACTACGACCCGTAATGTGAAATGACATTCTATACTCAAAAAGATGTTAAATTGGTCCAAGTATGTATTAAAATTTCAACTAAGACTGAGACCTATAAAAACTAGCATAAAACTCGACACTCAAAGTCCTATAAGTTAAGTTGCAATGGTTTTTGGATCTGTTGAGTATAAACAAACTTGAGTCATTTCACAATACGACACTAAGGTCTGCATTACAAAACATAGCTGAAAACTCGATTCAATCTTAGTCATAGATTCTGTCGTGTGATTGGTCTATTTCTAAAAAGCCTCAATGTATGATACAATTGAATCCAGTTTTGCTTTCATGCTGTATAACGCACCGTCTCTTGTTAAAAATGTAAATAATTGACGGTCGTATAGCTGCGTTTTGTTATCTTAAGCAAATAAAAGTATACTGGCTCAAAAAACATAAGAGTATTTCATATAAATTCATTTCTGTTGCAAGTGCATTTTCCGCTAAAGTTTTCACAATCAAACAACATGTATATTACAACCTGATCGAGTTAACTGCGCACTAGGGTGGTCCTTATTTTTTGACTTTTGAATTATCCCCGGGGCACTTTCTCATTCGATTATATACCTCTAAATATGAAATTAGCTTTTTTTGTTTTTTTTTTGGTTGAGATTTAGAGCGTGGGACGTCCACCTACAAGGTGGACCGACGACATCGTAAAGGTGGCAGGGAGGCGCTGGATGCAGGCCGCTACCAATCGATCAATGTGGAAAGCATTAGGGGAGGCCTATGTTCAGCAGTGGACGTCCTATGGCTGACATGATGATGATGATGATGATGAGATTTAGAGGTCGCTGCCAGCTGTCAAAATATTTACAAAAGCTTTGAAGATCTTAAATCATGGTTTCATAAATGTTTTATTTAAGTGTTTATATCACATTTTACGTGCAAATGAACATCGCATAGATAGAATAGACAATCGCTTCTTGTCCCCTTCTCCCCTCAACCCCTCTTCTGTACCGACCATGGTACCGACGCGTCGAGATACTAACAAGTAAACTCTTATATCTTAAAAATAATTGATTCAAATATGTACGTACATTGTACATAATATCTTAGTTCATAGCAACAACAATAATTTTGTATAGCCCGACCAGGAACATAAAAACCCTCGCCATGTTGCGGAAAACTGATGGTACTAATTTCTTTTAATGGCAACAGTAACTGAAAACTTCATTGACATGTCACCTTGCATGTCAGTCTATTGCTGTCAAAGTGTAAACAAACTTTATTTTAAATGTGCGCAATTGATTTTGTGAATTAAATTGCTAAAATCTTTTTATAGTCGTGAAAGAAAAGTGGTTCACAATGTGTTAAAGTATTTGTCGAAGAGAAATACTAAGGGTTTGGACAATATTTTCATTGAATAATGTTTCCGACAAAGGTTGTCAAATTGACTGACATGTTTATCGCATAGTACAGTCCACTATGAAAATTAGCTGTGGTTTGTTTCAACTACCTATTTTAAGTGTTGAATTTTATGGAATTGGGAAAGAAGTACCGAGTTTGAAGCGTTCATGAGCAAACATTGCAGTTGAATGTTCAAACTCTGAATTTGATGAATAATAAATCCTACTAGCTCGATTGATGGTTTCATTTAATTTATTTAAACCAGGTTACCTATAATAATATTTTTTGGTTAATTTATGAAAATATCAAATTAGCCCGTAATCCTGAATTCTGATACATAAAGTTAGCTTATTAATTTAACACAGGTACGACTGTACTCAGTGTTGCACTATCAAATGCAATTGACGCGCCTCTATGCCAGGGTTTTTATGTTCCTGGTCAGGCTATAATATTTTTATTTGGCTTTGGCTTTAAAAATAAATGAATGTAACAAATACAGATTTTGTTTTTACTTAAAATTCAAACCTTGGTAGCGACCCCTAAATGTCTTTTAAAAATTTAAAAAAATAATGAAAGTCTTTCATATGGTATATATTCAAATTACGTGGTGCATTCCGCAAAATATAAGAACAATTTTTTTTTTCCTAGGAATAAGGACCACCCCCTACTGCGCACTTGTCAGCCATGACGTCACATCGACGCTCAGGTACGAACGGGACGAACGCGGGCAAGTGGGAGGGAGAGTCGCAATCAGTGAGGTACACAGTTAACTCGATTGGGTTGTACCTTGTTCTTATTTATGTAGTAAATGTAGGTAATTTACCTTAGTTTTGCTTATGTAATAACAGTGGGGGCGTCTCTGCCGGTGTACTTTTGAAGCTGCGATATTTGTAGCGCGACGTCTATGAGAGGCCGCAGCATTACTTGTGCATCGCCCAACACGTTCTTAGCCTCGTACGAGTCTATGTACAATCTGGGGAGAATATTTAATGTTAAAACGAGTCATTTGAATTTAAACACATTTTGTTGTAATATACTTAGCACTTATTGCTATATGTATATAAGACGCTAGTGCTTAGTTTGCTGTGACATCGTCCTTATAAAAAACCTTTAAGTAACTTATGTTTAGAACATATTCATAGCTTAAACAAATCTTTGAAGAATTCTATTCGACTTAGGTTTTATTTTCGCCATTTGGGGACACAGCGACGTAAAAATAATAATAATTGTCTAAAAACCGTGAAGAATTAAACCTATTCGATACAGCTGTCCCTTTTCATTATCTTAAGAGAAAAAGAGAGATAGTTATTTACCTGACGGTAGCACCAGAACTGCCGGTACCACTCAACCGCATCACGATGCGAGAGCCGTCTTCAAATATTATGCGAAGACCCTAGAAACAAAAAAAATGCAAATTAGAACAAAGCCAGGCTTGACAGCATTCTCTAAACTATGGCATTGGTTCCCAAAGTGGGGGGCGCAAAGACCTTTAAAGGGGGCGCGGGCTATCTTTTAAGTACACGTGCGACCGCTGAGAGAATGCATTCCAGACTGCTCGATACGACCAATAAATAATCTTGACTGGAGGAGGGGGGGCGCGGAATTTTTTGCATGGTCGAAGGGGGCGCGTCTCAAATAAGTTTGGGAACCAATGCCCTATGGTATCATCTGTACTAGCCTGTTTACTCTATGGCACATGTCTTGTCGCCGGTAGAGTGCGATGACGCAACGAATATTATTCCATTATCTTCTCTATGGTATCACCTACACTGTACACTACTATGTTTACTCTATGACACTAACCTGCTTCATAGACACGCTTTGGTCTATGGAGTCCATATACGAGAATTTGTCGAACTGTTTGACGACATAAAATATGTTTTGTTACCTCTAGAGTGCTATGACGCTACGAAATATCTCGTTGACCTCTATGGTATACATAGTCTGCTTACTCTATGATACTGACCTGCTTCATAGACACGCTCTGGTCTATGGGGTCCATATACGAGAAGTTGTCGGCCAGTTTGACGACGTATGTCTTGTCACCGCTAGAGTGAGACGACGCTACGAAGCCAAACTCGATGCCCTTTATAGTATCATCTACACTATGTTTACTCTATGGTACTGACCTGCTTCATAGACACGCTCTGGTCTATGGGATCCATATACGAGAAGTTGTCGGCCAGTTTGACGACGTATGTCTTGTCGCCGCTAGAGTGAGATGACGCTACGAAGCCGGGCTCGGTCATTTTCTTCTCAAGAGCTTGCATCATTTCGTTGCAAGGGTCGCTTGCGCATTCTTCGTAGTCGTATCTGGAATTGATTTATTTATTTTGTTACAAAATGTAATTATTAAAACGACTTAAGATGCTGCAGTATTTAGCTTTATGTATTCGCTGGGTGCGAAGTACTAGGTGGGGGGGACATAATCTATCGCAGCGCTCATGGTGGTCAAAAGTAGAAATAATGTAAGCTCTGTCATCAGATGTATCTGTCAATGGCAAAGCGATTCTACATAATACATTTTAATATCATTAATTAATCGCATGAAAAGGGTCCTACTGGGAACTTAAATAAAAGAGTGGACTGTATTTCGATAGGGCTGTTTTAATAGCCGTTTACAATTTGGAAATAACTAAACTATACAACGTGGTAGTACAAAAATGAGTCACAGTAGTTGTTGTGCACAGATGTTTGCCTTATGATGAGAGCGTGAATTATTGAACTCTGCCCTTGTTTTGTTCTTAATTCTTCTACATCTCGGACTTGTCCAGCCAATACCAACAACTTTCCTTTAAATACGGTTTGTGGTTGGAATTTGATATTGTAACTCTCACAAACCCGGTCTTCAAAACGATACTCATTTCGATCTGAAAACGATATTTAATTTATTACTAGCGATACAGAAACATTTAAATATATTTACTGTTATATAATGAAACCGTTAAAGTAGCTTTTTCTTTTTGTTTTACTGTAAAACTACAACTATAAATGAAGTAAACAAACCCTGACACAATCAAAATTAAACACACTTTTATGGTTTAAGACATTTATTTCTCTAAAAGAATTACATTCACTTACAAGAGAAATACAAAATTAACCTTAAAACTATAGATTATTTAAAGTTTATACAATTTTAATTGTTTACATTTTAATATTTTTTGCACGAAGCAGACGCGTACAATAGCAGTCACTCGAGTATTAATATATTGGTCATTCGTGGGTACACTAAGAAAACAGTAGTTATAATTCGTAACGACAGGTCCAATTACGTATCGTATTCTAGTTTCTATGAGAATGTTGTACTTAAGTCACTTTTTTTTTTTTTTTTTTTAATTTAGTTTAAAATTAGCCCGTCCTTCTCTCTCGTGGCCAGAACCATTGCCAAAGCTCTTCCCGCTCTCTCCGTGCCTTTCACCTGCCCTTTCACCAATCTCACAAGACACGCATATAGCTGAAGCAGCCCCACAGTTGGCGTGAGACCTATGCCCTACAGTGGGACGTGTATAGGCATGCTTTGCTTACCATATCGGTGCGAATACAAATGTAAATCAGACTCATTTTTTTTCTCAAGTAAGTGACGATATGTTTTTATTGAGAAATAAAGAATCTTTAAACCTTACCAGTAGGCACTTCAAACATCTCCTGTCCCTTAACAGCCGCGACCCTATCCACGGCTGCCGCAGTGGGCATACTCCTGGCGAAGCCCCGGACTCCAGTCCGCTGGAAGTACTATGAGCTTATTCCGCGCACATACAACATCTAGACGTGCAGTTAAAAAACCTATTTGAAACTTTAACAACAGGTGACATAAAGTCCTATGTTCCCTAGATGGGGCAGAGGGCGTCCACAGCATTCCTCCATCGCGTTCGGTCTTGAGCTTCGCGTTTGATCTCGCTCCAAGCCTTGCCGATTTTCAACCGGTCTTAATTTTAAAAAACGTCTCAGCTTACCAGTAGGCACTTCGAACATCTCCTGTCCCTTAGCGGCCGCTACCCTGTCCACAGCGGCTGCAGTGAGCATACTCCTCGCGAACACACATGAATAAAGCGTCAAAAATCCTATTATAAACCTTAACATCAAGCCCTAAGTTCTAAAAACAAACGCAGCTTACCAGTAGGCACTTCGAACATCTCCTGCCTCTTAGCAGCCGCCACTCTATCCACGGCTGCCGCGGTGGGCATACTCCTGGCGAAGCTTCATACTCCAATCAGCTGGAAATACTGAGCTTATTCCGCGCGATTACACATACAACATGAGGAGATCCGCAGGATAACCAAAGTGACCGACATAGCTCGCAGAATTGCTAAAATCATGCGTAGAGACGATGGCCGTTGGGGCAGAAAAGTTCTCGAATGACGACCACGGGCTGGAAGACGTAGCGTGGGCAGGCCTCCTACTAGGTGGACCGACGATCTGGTAAAGGTCGCTGGAAGAGCCTGGATGCGGGCAGCGCAGGACCGTGCATTGTGGAAAACCTTGGAGGAGGCCTTTTTCCAGCAGTGGACGTCATTTGGCTGAAACTGAACTGAAAACACATACAACATCTCAGACGTGTCCTAGGGTCTAAAAACAAACGCAGCTTACCAGTAGGCACTTCGAACATCTCCTGCCTCTTAGCGGCCGCCACCCTACCCACGGCTGCTGCAGTGGGCATACTCCTGGCGAAGCCTCGGACTCCAGTCCGCTGGAAGTAAGGTATGTGCTGCAGGTTGTTCGCAAGGACTGCCAGCGAGTCGGATGGAGTCACGAAGAACGCGCCGCGGCCGATTATCATGTTGTTCATCAAATATTGCTATGTCTAATCAGAGGCCTGTTTGATAATATTTGAGAATAAGGTTGACTTGACTACAGTGCCTTTCACCAATTCTCACTGGACCCGCATATAGCTGGATCAGCGCCCCAACTGGGATGAGATCTATTTCCTGCAATGGGACGTGTATAGGCATGCTTTTCTTACCAGTACGCTTCAAACATCTCCTGACCTTTAATAGCCACCACCTTATCCACAGCAGCCGCTTTGGGCATACTCGGCGAGAAGCCTCATAAATGCAACATCAAGAGTGTGCCTTGAACAATCCTATTTTAGAAGTCCTAAGGTCGAGAAATTGTCAATATTACTTTAAGCCTTAGTGGCACATTTTAAGGTTGAAAAACGTAGTCTTATGCCCGTTTTCACCACCAATCCCTAAGATTTAAGTGACCCCTATGAATACAAATTTCCTGTTATTTGTTACTATAGGGGTCACTTTAAAGATAGGGATTGATGGTGAAAACGGGCATTAGCTTACCAGTAGGCACTTCGAACATCTCCTGCCCCTTAGCAACCGCCACCCTGTCCACGGCTGCCGCGGTAGGCATACTCCTGGCGAAGCCTCGGACTCCAGTCCGCTGGAAGTACGGGATATGCTGCAGGTTGTTCGCAAGGACTGCCAGCGAGTCGGATGGAGTCACGAAGAACGCGCCGCGGCCGATTATCATGTTGCGGTCGCCTGGTAGGAAGAATAGAATAACGTTGGTTTATAATTTCCAGTAATTGTCAAGTTTATGTGCTCTGTTTTATCAGCTAACGTTTCAAATAACCCGAGTTGGGATATTAGATTTTTACAGTTGTAGCCAGAAGACGTAGTGAGCAGGGCCACTTAGGACCGACGATCTGGTGAAGGTCGCGGGAGCACCGATCGTTATGGAAATCCTTGGGGGAGGCCTTTGTCCAGCAGTGGACATCAATTGACTGAAACCAAACGAACGAAACGAAACGAAAGTTGTTAATTTTTAACTAATAATACAAACAAGGGGTTCAAATGTACCCCAACCTATTTTTGGTGACCATACTAAATGAGTACTACACTAATAGTGTCATAATAAATTACTTTTAGTATTTAACTATTAATAATTGTACTACATAAATTAGTGGGGTACACAATGTACACATGCACCCTACAAAAATTCAACTAACCATCGCCATCGAAAGCAGCTCCGAAATCGTAGTCGCCATTCTTGACAGCTGTCACCAGATCAGCCGCATACGTCAGATTGGGATCCGGGTGCGCCCCTCCAAAGTCTTCTAACGGCACCACGCGGCGAACATTCTTCTCTGACGCTCCTAGCTCTTCGACGAATATTCGCTGAACGTACGGCCCGGTTACTGTGTTTAAATAAATGATAGAATTATATGGTTAAGATTGCATGAAAATATGTTAGTGTTGATGAATAAATATGCTAATCTCAATCGTGATAATTAATAACACAAGATGCTTTTGTAGTGTTTACCTATAATTAAATAAGGAGATGTAGAGAATAAAGTGAAAATAGTAATTACTTATAATATTGTTTAAAACTACAATTTGTGATAAAACATTATCACAACTAATCCAACTATTGTACCTTTTTTATTACTATTTTGATATTGGGCTTGATATCTGGGGCTACTTTTAATCAAAGCATTATTTTTATTTTCTTGTCTTGTATGGTGTAGAATAAAGAGTGTTCTATCTATCTAGATACACGTACTCGTCGTAACCGCCTCTGTGGTCCAGTGGTAAGACCACCTGCTTCAGATGCAGAGGTCCCGGGTTCGATTCCCAGTAGGGGCAGATTTTTCTGTTCGGTTTGGTTGGTGGTAACGCTTGTTTTAAGTCCGCCTGGCTCTAGCTACCACCATCTTACCAAAGTCTGTCGCCATAACAACAATGTTAACAGCATTATTGTGTTCCGGCAATTAGAGGTAAGATAGCCAGTTCCTCCGTGGTTGAGGATTCCGGGTGAAGCTTGCTTCTACCTTCGGCCTGATCGTCACTTACCATAAGGTGAGATACAGGCCAAGAGCTTCCTCGTTGTGGATAAAAAAATATACAGGGTGTTAGGTAAATGGGTATATGAGCCGACACTAGCCCATGTTAACATGGTCATATAAATGGTATGGTGAAGTCAGAAAATTGATATCTTCATTTTAATTATTTTATTTTTCATACAAATCGGATTTTATAAAATTTATTTTGTATGAAAATTAAAAAATATTACTCATATACCCATTTACCTAACACCCTGTATATCTTCGAGAATTTTCCTCCTCACCTCCATTCATAGAGTCGATCAGCACATTGAAAGGCTTCCTCTGCTCCGAGCCTTGGATGAGGGTCTTGATCTTGGGGAAGTCAAAGATCTCCTTCATGTAGTCTACGTAGTCCCTCACAGAGTCGACCACTTCGACCACGAAGGGGCGGTCTCCTACCTGGGAATACATTACAGTAATGAATAACTTCAAAAGTTGTTTAGTTCACTATATTTTAAGTAATAAATGGATTGTCTCAAAAGTTGCTCAGTTGACTATATTTTTGGTCATAGAAGATGGGGCATGTAGGTGAGACTAATCCCACCTCTCTTGTCCACCACTGTTTCTACTGTATATCAAGGACTGGTCTGTCGGCCGTTTGGTTTAGTGATTCGAAACGGACTACTATTCCGGAGGTAGCGGGTTTGATTCCCACACAGTACAAACATTTGTGTGCATGAACATATTTGTTTGTATTGGACCGGGCGTTTTGTATGTATAATAAGTATGTATTTACAAAAAAAAGTATTTAAGTATGTTAATATCCGTTGTCTAGTACCCATAGTACAAGCTTTGCTTAATTTGGGACTAGAAGCGCAGAGTAAAATTATGTCCAAGGATATGTATTTATTTATACAGGGTGTTTGGCGCATCGTGTGCCAAAATGATTTGGCGGATAGAATGGGTCATTTCCTATATTTTCAGCCCCCATAACACGTTCCATGTCAGGCGGCTACTTTTATATTAAGTTTTTTAGTAATTTCACCAAAATACCCAAATCGCATCATTTAATTTCGATTTAAAAAAAAACTACTAAGCGTAGCCTCAAAGTAAATATTTTGTTTTGACGTGCATTGATATAGGGTTGCATCAAATCTAAATTTACTGGCAAATATCATCTAGTTTTTTTTTAATTCAGCTTTGAACTTTTCCGAAAAGTTAAAAATGGACTGAACATTTAAGTTTACATGGCTATAAATTTTTTTTTAAAAGAGATAGCGATCTTCGGATTTTATCAAAACTTCTCTAGTCTATCCCCATTCAAACGGTATACTAATCTTGTTTAAATAATAACAACAACTTCACAAATTCCCTAAATTAGTGCATTGACTCTATTCGGACTGATTTGCGAAATTTGTGTTTATAGCCCCTTTTTGTGTGAATAACACGTTAAATACCTACAGGTAAAAAATATTTATCTTATGCAATGTAAAAAACCTTTTCTCTATCGTTTTTCAATGTGGATTTCTTGAAATTAAAGACGAAAATAATTATTTTGATCGTTTATTAATTATTACAAATTTTGTTCAAAATGTCCGCCTCGGCAACGTATACACTCACGACATCTTCGACTGTTGTCGTATGCAGCCTCATTTCTCTTTTTATTACTATAAAGGCGTTTTCTATTCGTTGTTGTAGTTCTTCTAATGTTTGAACTTCCGTTACGTACACCAGTTCATTACCTCGTCCCCAGACGTAAAAATCTAACGGAGTTAGGTCTGGGGAACGTGCAGGCCACTGTATAGGGCCAGTCTAAATTAGAAGAAGATGTCGTTACTTAGTGTATACGTTGCCGAGGCGGACATTTTGAACAAAATTTGTAATAATTAATAAACGATCAAAATAATTATTTTCGTCTTTAATTTCAAGAAATCCACATTGAAAAACGATAGAGAAAAGGTTTTTTACATTGCATAAGATAAATATTTTTTACCTGTAGGTATTTAACGTGTTATTCACACAAAAAGGGGCTATAAACACAAATTTCGCAAATCAGTCCGAATAGAGTCAATGCACTAATTTAGGGAATTTGTGAAGTTGTTGTTATTATTTAAACAAGATTAGTATACCGTTTGAATGGGGATAGACTAGAGAAGTTTTGATAAAATCCGAAGATCGCTATCTCTTTTAAAAAAAAATTTATAGCCATGTAAACTTAAATGTTCAGTCCATTTTTAACTTTTCGGAAAAGTTCAAAGCTGAATTAAAAAAAAACTAGATGATATTTGCCAGTAAATTTAGATTTGATGCAACCCTATATCAATGCACGTCAAAACAAAATATTTACTTTGAGGCTACGCTTAGTAGTTTTTTTTTAAATCGAAATTAAATGATGCGATTTGGGTATTTTGGTGAAATTACTAAAAAACTTAATATAAAAGTAGCCGCCTGACATGGAACGTGTTATGGGGGCTGAAAATATAGGAAATGACCCATTCTATCCGCCAAATCATTTTGGCACACGATGCGCCAAACACCCTGTATATTTATTTATTGGTCTCCCACCTGGGAATACATAGCCATGTAATGAATAACTTCAAAAGTTGTTTAGTTTACTATGTTTTTGGACACTGTGTACAGACGTGAAGCTAAAGTTCTCGAGTGGCGACCACGGGCTGGAAGACGCGAAGCTTGGGCAGGCCTCCTACTAGGTGGACCAACGATATGGTAAAGGTCGCGGGAAGAGCCTGGATGCGGGCCTTTGTCAACGAACGTTGAACGATTTTTGGACATAGGAGATGGGACATGTTGGTGACTATTCCCACCTCTCTTGTCCACCACTGTTGCTACTGTATAGCAAGGATTAAGGCTGTGGTATCCTATAAACGCTACGTACAGCGTCACTCCGTAGGCTGCGGACTTCAATCTATAGAAATGTACTACTGTGGTCTCTTTCAAACGTTGACGTCGGGTATGGACACCATGTCGATAGGAACATTTGACACTGACGTCGTACGCCGCGTATGGCGTTTAATACTCGTAGGAACTTCAAATTCCACTGTCCACCGTGACACTAAACAATCGAAATTTACCAAAACCAGTGTGCTTCAAATTCGCACCATTGAAGCCATTGCACAGAATAATAATAATACTCGTAGGAGTCGTAGGAGACCGTAGCCTTAGAGTTTGGTCACCAATAAACCTCAACCTGTGAAGGTTGAATAGTCCCTGGGACCATGCATATTAGAGTCGAAGGGAGGACCTGCCTCAAACACTCCTCTGGATTAAGACTGAATGGGCTAGAAGCTGGATACTACTATGGCTTAAGACTAGAACTTACAGTGAAATTCTGCACCCCAATCATGTCAACAGCACAATTGATGTCCGGCACGATCTTGTACTCCTTGATGGTGGTGGTCAGTTTGTATATTAGGCCTCCCTTTCTGCAACTGAAGCGTACCGAACAGGGGACAGGGAAGGGTAGCTGCCTCACCAAACACTCCCCCTAGATCATTTGTTCCCAAAGTGGGGGGCGCGCCCCCCTGGGGGGGCGCAAAGATCTTTAAAGGGGAGCGCGGGCCATCTGTAAGAAACCTGAGACCGTTGAGAGAATGCATTCCAGACTGCTCGATACGACCAATAAATAATCTTGACTGGAGGAGGGGGGGGGGCGCGGAATTTTTTGTATGGTCGAAAGGGGGCGCGTCTCAAATAAGTTTGGGAACCAATGCCCTAGATCATACTACCTGGATCAGTAGCTTCTGCTGCCAAAAGTAAATTTACTTACAGTGAAGTTCTGCACTCCAATCTTGTCAACGGCACAGTTGATGTCCGGCACGATCTTATACTCCTTGATGGTGGTGGTCAGTTTGTAGATGTCATTGGTGGTGTGGTCGGGGGCAGGACCTCCGTTGCTGCAGTTGAACTTGATGCCGAAGTCGTTGTTGATGCCACCAGGGTTGTGGGAGGCGGTGAGGACGATGCCACCTTTGTAGAAATGGTTGAGGTAAGTTAATTGTTAGATCCAACGCACACGATGTGTTGCCGCGGCGGTGCGACGCCGAGCGGTGTCGCTGCGTCGTCTTACATAGAAATATCTGTGGCGGGCACACGAGCGGGATACGGCGAATTCTTTGCAGTGCGGCGCACAATGCATCGTGTGCGTGGCTCTTAATGTAATCAAGTAGATGGCAAAGGGAGCAGTACAGTTTTTAAGGAAAATTCCTAAAGAATAGCCATATAAAACAACATAAAATATGATACATAAATAACCAGTACCACAGGTAACAAAATAATAATACCAGGTTTGTTCTACCAATTTGAACCATGATAAATCAGTATCAATATTATGTATGATTATAGCAGTAGCGCGCGAGGTATCGCTGAGTAAACACGCGCAGTTCGCTTGAGACCGGACCACTTTTTTCGTACCAGCGTAAACCAGAGGTTGCAAACATGTTTACAAGTCAGTGTGCAACTTGCAAAGATACAGTTGGCCATGGACCTCAGTGTTCGGTATGTAAGGGAAACTATCATTTCAACTGCGCTGGCATATCGGAACGAGGTTTTAGCAGGCTGGGAAGCGGAAGAGATTCGTGGATTTGTCCAGCATGTCGGGATACCAACGGCTCACAGTTACAGGACATTAGTCCTTCTCCGTCTGCAAGTAGCACCCCATTGGCTTCACAAAGGCTATCATCTGGGCTTCCAATCGACCGGGCAAGTTCTCCGCGTCCGGTGAGCCCAGGCCAACAATCTCAGGACTCAATACTACAAGACATCTTGGCTAAGGTCACCAGCCTGGAAAAGCGGTTCATCGCATTCCAAACAATGGAGTCCGACGTCAAACAACTTAAGGAGGACATTTCTNCCCATTGGCTTCACAAAGGCTATCATCTGGGCTTCCAATCGACCGAGCAAGTTCTCCGCGTCCGGTGAGCCCAGGCCAACAATCTCAGGACTCAATACTACAAGACATCTTGGCTAAGGTCACCAGCCTGGAAAAGCGGTTCATCGCATTCCAAACAATGGAGTCCGACGTCAAACAACTTAAGGAGGACATTTCTGATCTCAAATCAAGTATAAACACTAATATTGACGGCATGTCTCAACGAGTATCGCAAATTGAGGACCGCTTGGTACCCCTCGAAAAGGTAAAGTCGGAGATGGAGGAACTTGAGACCGTGATAAGAGACCTAGTTGAGAGTAATAGCAGAAATGATCAATGGGTGAGACGTTCAAATATTCAGCTGAATGGAATTCCATACAAAAATGGTGAGAATTTAATATCAACAGTGAAGCGTCTCGCTCAGCTATGCGATTTCCCCTTAAACGTCGACACCGATATTGACTTTGTTACTCGAGTTGCGTTGAAGAACGATGTTGATAACAAAAGCAAAACTAAACCCGTCATTTTGAAACTGCAATCGCGATACAAAAAAGACGACTTTTTAGCGGCTCTTCGGAAGCTCAAGAGTATCAGGGCGAGTGATTTGGGCTTTAGCGGATCGGAAAGTCGGGTCTTCGCTAATGATCATCTCTCCGCAAAGAATAAGTACTTACTTCAACAAGCAAAAATGAAGGCGAAAGAAAAGAACTACTTGTACTGCTGGGTTCGCAACTGCACAGTCATGGTGCGACGAAATGAAAAGTCTCCTGTCATACACATCACGTCGGACAATGATTTAAAAAAGATAACATAAGGGAAATTTGTATGTATAGTACGTGTCTTATTGTAACATGTATGTTATTCTTGAATTTTCTGTGTGTCTGGTTTGCGGCGAATATTCATAGTGACAGTATTTTTATTTTTATAAATCGCTATTATTACCAAAGGTTGGCATCCCCTTGCCTTCCGGGCGCGCTATTGTATAGTTGCCACTACCGCAAAAATGTTCGATCGGACATCGTATCGCTGGTAAAAATATACATTGAGCGTTTTGTGGGTGAGCGCTGCTTGCCGAGTTTGCCACAAGAGGAAATGGACGTCTTGCATTATAATATAATAATTTTATGGCTTAATGTGGAGTTGGCTGCTTGTGTTTGTTCTCGTCTCTTGAGTAAAAATTTTGCGGTTTACCTTCTTAAATTCAATAATATTTTAGAGTACGGAATTATTATGGCTTATCATGAGAAATCGGTAGCATCTTTTGCTTATTTTTCTTGTGCATTTAAACAATATTGCATCGGCGTGTATAGTGATTTGGGTTTCATAATTCATTACGTCAGTTATTTAGTTGTAGTTGGTAATTGTTGTCACTGCAAAATAAAAATTAGTAACATTTTATATTTACACGTACGATTCATAAATACTATATTTTTATTANCAAAGTGGTCAGGCGGAAGAGTCCCCGATAGTACCTATGTCTAATGGTTGGAAGGCAATAAATACATTTTTTTTTTATATATTAATTTCAACTGACATAGCTCGCAGAATTGCTAAAATCAAGTGGCAGTGGGCGGGGCACATAGCTCGTAGAGACAATGACCGTTGGGGCAGGAAAGTTCTCGAGTGGCGACCACGGGCTGGAAGACGAAGCGTGGGCAAGCCTCCTACTAGGTGGACCGACGATCTGGTAAAGGTCGCGGGAAGAGCCTGGATGCGGGCAGCGTAGGACCGTTCATTGTGGAAAACCTTGGGGGAGGCCTTTGTCCAGCAGTGGACGTCATTTGGCTGAAACGAATTAATTGCAACAAGATATTTCGCTATCGGGCTTTTCTGGACCTCAGAAATGTTCCCTATCACTCTTTTTATCAATTCATTTGCGGTTTTAAATAATATTATTTACTCTTCACGTCTCTACAGTGACACTCAAAGTAGCCAAAAAGTTGTCAGACAACATCCTTATTCCAATTGTAACGAAGACGTGTTGCTAACTTTTTGGCTATTGGGTGTGACAAACTATTTGACTCCGACTGTACCATGCCATCGCATGCCGTCATCAGCCTCCAGAAATGAGTCACGGGGCCAGCAATCAATCGCGCGCCAATCGCTCTGCAAAAAGTAAAGGAGGACCGGCTAATAAGTTTGCTCGCTCTTGCGTGCCCGGACGCGGACCAATTCGCTTTTTAAACGGACCAATCGGAGTCGCGATGCTCTGTTTGGGAACCGGTTTAACGGCAGTTGGCGTTTTTAAATTTGGATGTGAGGTAATTAGTTGCGATGGGGTTTTAAATGTCCCAACTATTTCGGGGCTTGGTTCACTCTTAGGTTAGTTTTTGTCATGCTACGTGTCTCCGGTTAAGTCTGATTTAAAGTAGAGAAATTAAACATCAGTAAACTGTGATGGCAAACTACCTACTATGTGCCAAAATAGTAGTCAAAATAAAATAAAATATTTTTGTGAATATGACGCCTAAAGTTCACTTTGACACACTTAACTATTTTCATCAAAAGCGTAAGTCTGAATTTCTTAAGAAACAGTGCTTTTCAACACAAAATTGCATCCCTTACCTATTTGGCTGACTTTAAGTTTTTTTCAACACCCTTTCCCAGAAGGATTTAAATTTTTCTATAGACTTGCAGCCATCCACCCAATCTAAACCTGCAGTATGTTCATTTATGATCTAGAATGTCCAATAAGTTTAAGTATTCAGCACAGCAAGACAGGTAAGCGGCTTATCTCAGTAATGCTCATTGATATACCGCGCGGCGCTATCGTCGTTCGGCCAGATTTGAATTTGAATGCGCAGGCGTTCGCAGTTTCGGACAGTTGATCTTGTGACGGATTTGCGTAATAATTTATAGTATTATACATGGGGGAGTAAGTGTCTGACTGTTAATTGCACTTTCACGCATAGCTAAATTAATGGTGATAGAGTTGCACAATCTATGAGGTACTGAAGGGGACAGAAGTATAATACCTGTAGAAATAATTACAGCGATTAAAATTATGATCCAAGTTGCGGAGAAATTATGTTTATGTTTTTTTCTCTTTACGTATTTATGACTAAACTGCAAGAAAATCGAGTATTTGTTTAATAGTTAATGCAAATGCTGGCACAGTCATCGGCATCGGCATATAACATGTAGGGTGGAGATGCAGAGGCTCTACAAAGATTTAATTCTTTCCCTAAGGCTTTTTACATCCGTGCATTTACTTACCTTGTTGGCCGAATTTGTTACCAATGAAGCCATAACGCTGGGGCAGGAAAGTTCTTGAGTGACGACCATGAGCCGGAAGACGAAGCGTGGGCAGGCCTCCCACTAGGTGGACAGACGATCTGGTGAAGGTCGCGGGAGGTGCCTGGATGCGAGCGGCGCAGGATCGGTCTTCGTGGAAATCCTTGGGGGAGGCCTTTGTCCAGCAGTGGACGTCTTTCGGCTAAAACGATGAAGCCATAACCATCAAATTCCTCAACATTTAAGTAAACTAGAATATTTTGGTATACATGGCGATCTCCTGAGATGGCTGAAATCCTATCTCATGAACAGAACCCAAGCTGTCACACTGAAGGGTTACATGTCTAGTTTTATACCAGCTCCTTCTGGGGTGCCTCAGGGCTCTCACCTCGGACCGTTATTGTTTAACATTTTTATAAATGACGTGGTAGATTGCTTTCGACATTCCAATTGTCTCCTATTCGCAGATGATACAAAAATTTATACAGTAGTAAAATCTTTGGGGGACTGTTTCGCCTTGCAAGAAGATATAAAGCGATTGTGTGACTATTGTGTTAAAAATAGGTTATTTCTCAATATTGATAAATGCTGTGTAATCACTTATAGTAGAAAAAAACGTCCATTACAATTTAATTATACAATTTTTGGCCAAAATCTTAAGCGATCGACCGAGGTGAGAGACCTAGGCATAATACTGGACAGTGAATTGTTGTTTTCTTCGCACATAAACAAAATCACTTCTAAGGCATATCAGTTGTTGGGGTTTATTTTTAGACAAGGTCGGGAATTTACTAANATACTGCTATATAATGTCCTGGTCAGATCACAGCTCGAATATGCGTCGACTGTCTGGAATCCCCAGTATCTTATATATATAAACTCAATTGAAAAGATTCAAAACAAATTTATACGGAGAATGAGATATAGATTTCGAGGAGACTTTGACGCTGACAGAGTTGTGTCTCTTGCTTTGCGAAGAGAACACTGCGATCAACTTTTATTGTACAAAGTTGTTAATGGCTATATTGACTCGCCCTACCTTTTGAGTAAGGTTTTGTTGCGATGTCCGAGAGCGAACATGAGGTCATGTGATTCATTTGCCATTTCTTCTTGCCGTACTAATTATGCGATGAACCGATTTATTCTAAGATCAATGAAATTGTATAACTCCAAATACTGTCACTTAGATATTTTCAGCCTAAAACCAAACAAATTTAGGTCGTTGTTAAAACAGTAATTACCTAACTATTTATTGTTTTAACAACGATGCGATATTTCGAGTTTAAATTAATTGCCAAGTCATAGTATATTTAACATAGAATCTAAAAATTTATTTACTTTTTCTGTTTCTGTTTACTCAATTTTTAAAAACGATACCTATGTATAAACTATTTGTGAAAACTATTTTGGCAAATGTGAAGTTTAATTGGTAACTCTATATGTGTTATAGAATGCTGTTTGTTTTCCTAACAATAAAATAAAATAAAATAAAAATAAAAACCAGCGAATTAATTTTAACAAAAATACGCGAGAAATAAAGGAAGCTGGAATTAAAATGAAAACGAAAATCCATGCTTATTGCGGATTATGCTGTGATTAAAAAGAAATTAGTAATTAATTATGTTAAAGTAAATAAATATATACGAAAACTACTGTCGAGTTTTAAGCCTCTAGCCTTTGTTTTATGGCTGTTATCAGCTGCATAACAGTAATGACGGAGGCTAATGTTTTCCCAAATTATCTCTGCGTTTATTTTAAAGAAAAGGGGCTCTTAGAATGTTTCTAAATTAAAAATTATACATGTCCCTAAAATATTTCCAAAAGAATCCTGACTCGACAAAAGTTTTTGAATTATAGCCTGACCAGGAACATAAAAACCCTGGCATAGAGGCGCGTCAATTGCATTTGATAGTGCAACACTGAGTACAGTCGTACCTGTGTTAAATTAATAGCCTAACTTTATGTATCAGGATTCAGGATTACNATGCATCCAACTGTACTATTTTACATAAAGTAAGCGTGGCAGAGTTTAATTCGTTTATTTTTAAATGACCGGTGAATCTATTTCTTGGGTTTTGGCAATTATTTATGAATCGTAATAAGTATGCAGTGATTCGATTCAATTTAGCAAAATTTGAGTAATTTTGAGTGTAGTTATTTTGTTCGGTGGCAACTTTGCATTCGACTTTTATCTCTGGCAAAGAGCTGGGCATGTAGTTGGGTTGAATAGGCCATTGAGATTCCGACTGTATTAAAAATGACGGGCCACTAAACCATATCTGAGAACCACTCAATTGATTTGCATTACATCCCCTAGATCCTATGTCGGCCGGGTTTAAATTGGTTGGCACGTACCTCCAGGCGTGGGAATCGCTATGTTCAGTGATTTCGTTTATTCTATTCAGTACAAACGTTTTAAGAGAGGATTTGGGAGTCCGAATCCAACCCAATACAATTGTGGAATCACTCCACAGAACACAACGCTTGACCTTTAACCTTAAAGCTGTTCGAACCTTTTCAGTTAGTCTGACTGCTAACAGTGCACCGCAAAGTTCTAATCGCGGTATCGTCATGCCCTTTAAAGGTGCTACTTTGCTCTTAGCCATGACTAATTGGACAGTGATGGTACCGTCTGCTGATATAGACCGTAAGTATACGCAAGCACTGTAAGCGTGTAAAGATGCATCGCTGAAGGAATGTATTTCTATAAGTATAGGTGAATTGCACAATGTGCGTCGTGGAATAATGATTTTATTTAATTGTGGAAGGGTCCTCAAGAATGTTAACCATTCCTCTTCGATTTCAGAAGGTAAGGGGTCATCCCATGAAATTTTAGAGAGAAGCGTGTCTGATTTAGCAGACCACCTCAAGCCTAAAGTCTTTGCATCATCATCATTTACTATCTTAAGCAAACCATCGTGATTATCCTCTTCTTGAATGCTATTTAATATTTCAGGGCAATTAGAACGCCACTTTCGTAAATGAAATTGACCTTTCTTGAGCTGAGAAATAACACCTTGTATTATGTGTATAATTGTCGACTTTGAATCATGACCGCTTATGTAGTCGTCTACGTAGCAGTCGTGTATTATAGTTTCACGGACTAAAGGATCAGTACATTCTTTCCCTAACTGTACAAGACAGCGAGTAGCCAAATACGGA